CTCTCCATTTTGCTGACAATACCTTTACTCTCTTTTTGACATCCATTTCCACTGTAACTTAATTTAGTGAAGAGGAGAAATTCCTCCCCACCCCACACATATCTGTCCTCCTCTCCTCCCTTTTAATAACAGAACTTCTGAATTTTAGCTAGATGTCAGATTCCAGGCTCCCTCACAGTAGTTAACAGTCCTATGGCCAATTTCTGGCCAATGGTATGTGAGGCAAAGTGGTAAAGACAAATTCCAGGTCACTCTCTTCAAAAAGAAAACTGTCCTCTCCATTTTCTTTCATTACCATTTTCTACTTGCACACAAAGAAACCACCATAGGAAATGATAAAAACAAAAAGAACCTGTTTTCTTTGATGACCTAGTGGAACAGAGGCCTACTGCCCAGGATCACCTACCCATCTTCTGGAAGAATATGTGAGAAAAAAAATCTTCTATCTTGTGGCAGTGTAGCAAAAGGGCTCTAGAGACAGAGTACCTAGAGACAGAGTATCTAATCTTGGTTCCTCTACTTACTAGCTTTCTAACCTTGAGCAAGTTACATAAGTTATTTGTGTCTCATTTTCTTCATCTGTAAAATGGAGATACTCACTAGTAGTGTTCTTGTGAGCATTCAAGGAATTAATAAATGTAATGTGCCAGGCAAAGTGTATATGCTATTAAAATGTCTGTTATTACTGCTGTTGCTTGAGTGACTATGATACTATCCTGCATTACTTTGTAAAAGCAGCTCAGTCTATCCTAATACTGGTACCAAATTGCTTTAAATTCTTTTGGAAATAGACAGCAAAAAAATAAGTATTCATTTGCATATGGTAACTTCGGTCTATTTATGCCAATGTACTAGCAGCAGTTAGTCATGGATAAACACAGGAAGAACTGACATTTGGAGAAGGAACTGTTAGAAAAAAGAGAGGGGTTGAATTCAGAAAAGTCTATTGCAAACAAGAAAGATGACTGCTTGAATAGGGAGAAAGGAAAATGCAGTTAAGCATCAGAGAGAAAATATATTTTTAATTTTTAATAAAACCTTTCAAATAGTTGCCTCTATATGGCATTTGCCTTTGGTTTTATACTACAGGTGTGATATGCCATTTAGCTTAGGATGTCTGAGACCTTATGCTCCATTCCGATGATCTATTCATATACCTAAACCAATAAATAATTATTATAGTTTAATTATATAGTTAAAATCAAGGAATATAAATCATTCTTTGTTGTTAGTTTTTAAAACGTTTTTGGCTCATCTATAGTAAAAACAAAAATACAGAAAAAAAAACTTAAATGTCTTTTAATAGGAAACTAGTTATATTTGTATGATGTAACAATTAAAAAGAATGAGTCAGCACTTTCTATAAGGTTTTAGAAAGTATATTCCAAGACATTTATTTTGCTGTTGCTATTGCTCCTGTAAACGTGATTTGCTTTCCCCTTATGTTTTCTAACTGGTTTTTGTTGATATATACATAAAACACACACAGAAAAGCTAATAAATTTTATTCGTTTAATTGGTAAATAGTACTTCATTTAACTTGTATTTTATCTAACACACATTTTATAATTGACTTGATTGGATTTTCTACGTAGATAGTATAGAAATGTCTTCCATGGACTTTATCTCAGTCTTAATGATTAAGACCTTTCCTTTCTCTTACTGATTTGACTTGGAGCTTTCAAAATGATGTTAATTAATAATGGTTGAAAGAGGCATCATCTAACATTTATTTACTATTTGCAATGTTGGCTATTAATCTGAGTTAGATAATACTCAGTTTGTTTGGGAAATATTCCTGGATTCCTAAAGAAATTTTATCTGGAGCTAATAATGATTTTTATTAACTCCCTTCATGCCATTTACTGAGATAATCATTGGTTTACTATAACCCACTGATGATACATTTTATTAATTACAGTCTTAATATTACAATGAACCTACTTTCTTAAAAATAATCCTTACAAGTGTCCTATACTTGTAAAAACTGTTCAATTTAATGTTATTATTTTAGAATTTTTATATTTATTTTCATGAGTGACGACAATCTGTAGGTTGTTTCAGGTTATTCTACCAGGCTTTTATTTCTGCATCATGTTGGCTTCTAAACTTTCCCTTTTTTTCTATGCTCTGGAAAATAAAGTATAGGAAAATTTCTTGAAAGGTTGAAAGAAGTAATTTATAAAGTCATCAGCATTTGGTGTCTTCATTGAAGGTAACTTGACTGCATATTCAATGGCAGGTTTTCTACTATTTAGGTTAATTTTAGTTATTCATATTTCCCAAAATACTGTCCATTTCAATCATATTTTCAAATATATTAACAGAAGTTATCTTTAGTATCCACTTAGATTAACTAAACCACCTCTACTTAATTTGCCAAGAACTTACAGGGATTTTAAAATCACCCATTAACACAGTTTCTATTCATTTTCCCTTATTATTCAAATCATTATAGCTTTATCTATCTTTGCTCTAGTATTTGGCACATTATCTAGCTTGTATAAAATCTATGCTATCTCATTTTATAAATTCTGTTCGGTATTTATATTTTGTATGGTAGTAATACTGTCTTTCTTACCTCTTTTGAACCAGAATATCAGATACACATTTGTTGATCGTACTTTCAAGCTTTTCATCTTGCTGTTTTAAGAGTCTCCAATATGTGTCAGCTACTTACATTTTGTTTTGTTTTTTTAACCCAATCTGAAAGTCTCTTTTTTTAAATAGTATTTTATTCATTTATATATCTTTTTACTAAAATAGATTTGCTGGTTCTTGCTTTGTATTTACCACTTTCAAAATTTTGTGCATCTTTGAAATTTCCCTGCTTTTCTATAGCAGTGATGGATAGATCCTTTCAAGAGTTTTTTCCCAAGAAAAAACACATAAATAATTTCATACAGAATTTCAAAGTGTTCACAGTCTGAAGTCCATCCGCGGATTCCTGTGGTTCATCAGACCCCAGTCTAAGGATCTGTTTAGTATTATATAATGAACAATTTGTAATGTTTAATACAATTACTCTGTTACCATGCCCTTCTGCATTCTTGACATCTTAATTCATCCCTAGCCTGGCTGGAGTAACATTTCATATAATTACTTCAGAAAGGATACTTCAGAAATATACTTCTGTACCCTTACATGCCTAAGAATATGTCAACTTCACATATGAAGGGCAACTAATATGGGTTCAGAAATCTTGAGTCAGAACTCTTCCTTCAAATCTCCATAGATGTTGCTTATTTTGGGGTATTTAATATTCAAGAAAATAAGTCTTGAGGCCAACTCCATTCATCAACAAATGTTAAATACACACATATCTCATGCAATCTAATAGATGCTGAGAATAAAATGAAGGGAAAAAAACAGCCGTTCTATCTTCATGAAACCAGCTGAGAAAGGTATAAAAATAACAAAAATTTTGATAAATGTACAGAAGCCTGATATGTGAGAAAATAACAGAAGACAGATAGTATTTTCCTTGTGTCTATGCAGTTGCTGCAAGAACTCTTACATTTTAGTCATGAAGACTTGTCAGTCATTGTAAATCTCCATTTCTAGTTCAGCGATCCATTAGTCTGAGATGAGTCACAAAAGGAGCTCTAGAAAAATATCATGTCATTTTTTCTCATGCTTGGTGAATTCACTGCACTAGAAGTCAGCTTTCCTTATCCATGCGATTATTCTGGACACTGTATAAAGGAGACTATGAGACATATCCTATCTCTCTTCCAGAGCCACTACTTGCATGTCATAGAGAAGTATCACCAGCTCTCTACCAGTTAGAACCACCACTTAAACCCCCATAATTGTACACTGAGATTCAGGAGAGAATGAGACCCAACTACTCCTTGACCATGCCTCAATTAGGTGCTAGTGGTATCTCAACTAGGAACCAGAGATACTGCATTTCATATTAGGGTGAGTAGAGAGTGACGCTCTACTTTAATCTATCATATCTCTGTCATGTTTGTTCCATGTTCTATGTTTGTTTCATGAGAATGCCCCTTTTAGTACCTAGTTTTCAGATTTGGTACAGGTCACCCCTATTTTAAAGGTCTAATGGCAATTTTTAATGAAATAGAAAGAAGGAATAAAATTATTTTTACTTAGCTATCTTCCTCAAGTCCCATAATTACTCTGAGACTTTTAAACCTTGTAAAGGAAGTTTGTGAATAATCCATTTGGATATTTTGTGTAGATTAAACTTCTACTTTAATAATTAAATATTTAAAAATAAAATCATAATAGTGTACTCTGTAATATACACCATTGATTCATCTGTCAATAAAACCAATTATAATTACTTCAAAAATCTTTTAAATCACTTATTTCGAATAACTGCTTTTAAATATAGAGGACTTTCGATTTTTTTTTTTCAAAAAAGTGATCAACTGACAAAAATACTTCAGAAAATCTATTAATAGCCTGGACTACTTTCTTTTTTCCATTTTGTTAGATCTTATCAAAAATAAAATTCTACTTTTTCCCCACATTAAGAAGTTTAAAATCTTACTTCCTTTATATGTACCTATAGAAAAGAGCAAATTGCCAACTTCTGATAATTTCATATGTTAAGCATAAACTATAACTCTTTTGGTGATTAGGTAATTTAACTTAAAAAATGAAGTTCATGAAAAAGCTACAAATGTAAGCCCAAATAAAATTACCTAAACACTTAATGTTTATATTCTTATACTTTGAAATTTTATGTAACTATCAAATGATGTTCCTATATGATGCTTAAATTTTTGCACAGTTCACATTTACATATATGTAACATTCCATGCTACTGCCCTTAATTCCTAGACCTTACTTTCTTATATTTAAAGAAATATTTGTTAACTAAAATATAAGGTAAAAGTTCACTGTGTTCCCTAAGGCCTTCTTTTGCTGGGGAGTTAGACAAAAATCAAAAAAAATAAAAGAATAAAAAAAGTCAACTGTCACACAATTTCAAGAATGACTGAAAGCCAGCAGTAAGCATGTGGTCCTACCTTCAGGGGGTAAGTTGTAGAGCTGGGCCACAGGTCCAGTCACAGGAATAACTGGCAACTGGAAATGGAAAGAACTTTTAATCGTTGGAAGTGGCAGGCGATTTTTGGGGAAACACTTCCTCATTATCAGACTGGAGGTGTTGACAAGAGGATCAAGGGTCCTGACTGCCAAACATTCCTGTTTTTTAAGAAAAGAAAAACAATGTTCCTTTGGTGAACAATTGAACCAATTTTAGATTACTTTAGAAAAAATACATTGATAATTTTCAAGAGACAAATAGCACACACACAAAAAGCAACATTTTATCATAATCATAAAATAGCTTTGACTATTCAGAAGTTTCTTTTTGTAAAGAACCTCATATGGCAAACTGCGTAGTACTTTTCCTTGAATATTTTAACTAAGCAGAAATCAGTAAAATCTTTGGTACCAAAAGTCACCAAAGCACTAAGTAATATATATGAGTGATTCAGAGGGCATTTTGCAAGCATAGCACACAAAATTAAAAAAAAAAAAAAAATTAAAAGAAGAAAAAAATTAAGTAAGAAAGGTGTAAGAAATAAAATGGAATATTTAGTTGAACGTTTCTCAGAATTTTATCAGTTATCACGCAATAGCACCTCTAGTAAATAGTTTTAAGAGTCTAATTTGCTGTCCCAGTATCTAATCTTAAGAAGGGCTAATACGTAGAGGGTTTGAAAGTGTATCATATAACACTATCATTATTATTATTATTATATTACTATTATTATTGACATTCAGATGGCACTTTAATACCCTGTAAAATTTTAATACAAATCTTCACATGTGACCTGTCAAAACAGATGAGAAATTAAGGCTCACGAATGTTAAGTGGCATAACCAAAGTCGCTCAACGTTTCCTCATTTCTCATATATCCATCACTGCCTACATCAATAATAAAAACAAGTATGTATGATTGATCTAGGAAAAAAAGCTAAGGGTAAACATAAAATATATGTTCTTATATCTTTATTCTCATTTACAAAGGGACTGTTTGTTGTAAGACCAAGAGGGCACAACCGAAATAATTGCCTGGAATTTTCAAAAGACAGTTTTCTTTCTAATAATTACAACCTTCTAAAGACAAAGGGTTGCGCTACAACATTCCTATTTCCCATAGCTGACAGTCTTTTATAGACAATAGAAGGAATATTACTAAAGACAGTGCCAAGAAGGATTGTGCTTATGCTGGCTGTCAGAAGTAAGATCCCCAACTTCAGGTTTCACTTTCATACCTTCTCTGTTTAAAAATGCCCTATCCAGGAGGGAGATGTTGAAAACACTCAAAAACGACAGAACTGTCCTGCTGATTTGCAAATGGTCCATAAATACTTATGAGGGAATCATGCAAAACTAAGTATAGCACATCCTGGAAAACATGGCAATATAGAATCCCTTCCAGCCCACTGGACAGATTTATATGTCTTCCTTTACCTATGGGAAAAAAAATCTCATATTGCAGAGATATGCACTAAGCATTTTCTCCAATCGGTCTGCAACCACATGTAAGAAATGATTATGCCTTTTGGTTTTGGTTTTCAGTTTTTTAAAATACATTTATTGTACTTTTTAAGTATTTTTAGAAATATTAAGTTTTCTTAAGAACCAAATCATATTATTAATACATAATTACAATAATAGGAAGAAAATTAAAAAAACTCACTTGTGAAGTGTTATAGAGAATTTTCATCCCATTGGCATCAATAAATGCTTTTCTTCCCAACTTGATGTTTGTAACACTTTTTAAACTCTGTAAAATTCCTTTCCGAATGAGCATGTTTCTATGCCGATTATCATGGCGGTGCCAATCTACATAAATTGTTAAAAGGACTTGGACATATCCTCTGTCTACCGCTCTCCTGGCATTTGTTTCTTTAACAAAAGAAAATTGAGAAAGAATATTTTTTTAAATGATAGAAGAAAGTGGTAGAGTAAATCAAATTAGACGGTTAAAGGGGGTCAAATATAAGGAAGGTAAGGGGAGGCTGAAGTGGGTTAAGGGGATCAAATATATGGTAGCTGAAGGCACCTGGACTTTGGGTGGTAAACACAATAGAATATACAGATGTCAAATTATAATGTACACCTGAAAATTATATAATTGTATTAGTCAATGTTACCCCAATAAACTTAATTTAAAAAAAAAAAGATAAAGGCCAAAAAAAATTTAACCACTACATTGTAATAAATTCTTATTTTTTTCCAAAAAAAATATGGCAACTACATATTTAAATATTTTTTCTAACAAAATAAATATGATAACTTCCAGATTACAATATTTTTATTGTAAATACAATATATTTTATATTTATTTTGTAGATTACAATACTTTTCAGAAACCTGCCCATATATTGTTTTGTGGTTAACAAATAATGAAATACCTATAATGCAATTAGGCCTACATCTTTTTAAATGTTAATACTAACAAAAGTTTTATGTATTTTAAAACCTACGAATATACTGACTTTGATTACAACAAATGAAATAGATAAGCCTTTAATTAGCTGTGATATGATTTTGTTAAAAGCCATTACCATTATTGTAACTTCTATTACAAACTGTATTTCTACTAAAATTAACTCCATTGGAATGTAGCTCCTATTACAAACTTTGTTTCCATCGAAAATAACTGCTTTAATTACACCCACAATTATATGAATATCCATGCCATAACAATGCTAAGTTAAAAATACAACTTTTCAATAAATAAAATGTAAAGAGTATTATGTAAATTAGAAGATGGTACTTTCTGGTTGTTAATTTTTTAATGTAATGAAAACGTAATTAAAGGTTCTTTTTTGTAAATGGTCAATTTTATTGGATAGAACAGAAATAAATCCACAAATTTAAACTATTTTATTATTTTTAAGGTGTTGATATTTAAGATTACTAACTAAATGAGTGCATTTGACTAAAATGGCAGCAAAAGAATAATCATATCACAGCAACATCTTGAGCCACCCAGCACCACATCGGTAGGCCAATTAAAGAGAGAGTAGAATATCAACCCATTTGGGGTTGTTCAGTTACAACGTAATATCAATCTCTTCCTAATCTAAATCAATCTATAAAATGACCTCCTGCCTCATGGCACAGATACTAAGGTAAAGACACTGAAATCAACAACCTTATTAATGCCCTCTCAGAAATTGTGCTCTGACATTAGAGAATTGGAAGAAACTCCCAGGGTGGAGAAGAGGTGGGAGGTTCTTATGTAAAAGCTTTTAAACTTCTATTGTGTCTATAGAGCTAGTTTTGCTAAGGCTATGGCTATTTATATCAGTTCAATAGTTTTGATTAATACTAGTTTCATGTACTTTAAATAAATATACCCACTTTGTTTACACCAGATGGAATATTAAGCCTTTAGCTTTCTAGCTGTGAATATGAGTTTCTTAAAAGACATTATGATCATTGTAACTCATGTTACAAACTGTTTCCACTGGAATTCTCAACAGCCTAAATAGTACTTACGAGAAATACTGAAATTCTTTATTAAAGATCAAATCAAAAACTTCCCAGTAACTCGAAAACAGGTAGCTGAATGACCCTTAAGAAAAATGAACAAAGCCATCTATAATCTGCAATTGAGCACAATAAAAAGTCTAGTAGAGGGGATTTTATTCATGTGTACAGGACACCAACTCACAATCAGTCTATGTCTCTTCTTCCCTCTCTAGTTAAAATACAGCTTAGGTTTCCTGTTAGATTGCAGCTTCTAATCTATCTACACTTCAGTGATAGCAATTAAGCTTCCTGTCTTTCTGCATTGTGTGTGTGCATTCTCTGCTTTATACTCTTAGGTTTATTAGAGTAGTTTAATTATCCTTTTAAAGTAAATTACTGCCCTCCCTAGCAAAAAGAAATCAATGCATAAGATGCTCCAAAATGCCATAGCGCATTTAAAAATAAGCAGTGTGCTACTAAATATTATTTTGCATTATTAAATATTTATCCTATTTAGTGCCATGTGCCATATGAAAACAATATTAAATATAAACCAGAGTCATTCTACTTGTCAGTTACTTTTTTACCTAATGGTGGGCAAATGTATCTATTTGCCCACCATCTTCCTTTGAAGGAGAAGGGAAGGAGTAAAAGGAAGATTACTATTTAAAACTTAAGATATAAGACTTCAGTCATCTTAGTATAACTGATTTCTGTAAAATAGTTAAAACTTAAGAAGGTTTTAGTTTTTACTGACTTAATGACTTTGTCGTCAGAAAATTTGTAAACTAATAAGTTTAGTTTTAATAGTTAATCTACTCTCAAAAGCATATGCCTATATTAATTTAAAAATTAATCTTTAAACAATTTGAACTACAAAGTCAGGGCACATCAAAGAAAGACTAAAAATATTTTTTTATTTTTAATGCAAGTTAATCCAAGTATTCCAATCTTGGTCTCAATTTTATTGTATCATATATGAAAATGAAGTAACATGGCTAGTTTTACTGAGTAGCACACATATCATTTCAAAGATAAAACTGCTAACTGAATTTTATATACTCTGGTATATAATACTAATACTTAAGGTGAATTTTTAAATTTAATAGATCATTACCAAATATAAGGTTTACCAATTAGTCATTTGCTAATTTTCAAATAAACAATTCTGGTCATTCAAACTTAAGGGCAAGTTGGTCTTACCCTTGATAGTTTTAGGAAAAAATAACACTGAAAGCCATCAATATAGATCTTTAGGACTAAATGTTATTATGATTAAATAAGGTGTTAACCAATGAGAGTTGGAATGTTAATGAAAACTGTTATTTAAAATAAACATACTGTGTATCTTGCAAAAAAAAAACATATAGTGTAGATGATTACTCTTCAAGGGCATCATAAGATACACTCTAATGCTTTAGTTCTAAGATAAATAGTGCTTTAGTGTGTCAATAACTTTAGTAAACTGTAAATTTACATTAGTAGCCATTTTTAATGTTATAAATTTGAATTTGTGGTAGAAAAAAAATTCCTAATAAAATCATGTGTTATAGAGAGAAAATGTTCAACAGTCTTCACAGTAAACGGTCTCAATATCGTTAGTTTTACTTTTTAAAAAAATGTATACTTATGTAATATTTACATATTACTTTACTAACGGGGCTTTATGTTTATAATAATAACTTAGAAATAGTAAGTCAACATACTTGAATAAATTATAGCTCAATAAACATAAATGACATTAGTTATGACATATCAATCAACTGTGTCAAAGATAAAATCAACTTTGACATTAATATAAACCAGCTTTATAACTATAGACTAAATCTATGTTTCCAGTTTAACACTGTAAATAAAATACTCAAAAAATAGTATCTAGTATTTCTAGTATTTAAAAACTTACTTGATTTTAGCAATGCAGCAAGAGTGTCTAAAGCAACCCTGTCAACATGAGAAAACACAAACAACAACAAAACTAGTAAAATTAATCTACAATAGTAAATTCATACAATCTTTTCAAATAAGTAATTATCTATTCCAAAAGTCATTCCAGTTATAGTCAATTACACATGGTGTTTCTCTGTATGCATCTCTCCTTTCAGATTATAATCAAACATGAGGAACATTGGAATATCAACAAAAAAGTACCAAAAGCACAATGTAATATACAGATGATGTATTATTGAATTGTACAATTGAAACCTATATCATTTTATTAACCAATGTCAGTCTGATAAATTTAATTTAAAAAAGGAAACTGCACAATTTACAGTGAAAAAAATTTTCAAGGAAGAAAAAAGATAAACTCATTTATTGTACCTGTATCTGACCTGACAGAGTTCACACAGGAGCATAGAATCATAGGCCCTAACTCACAAAGAAATTAAAACAAAAACAAGTCTTTAACACAAATAAAGTTCATAACTACAAAATTCTATAGATAGTTGTAGCTATTAGCCCTATCAAGCAGTAATGTTAATATTTAAGGTGATAATAAATGAAAAATATTTTGGAACTAGGAGGTTTCAAGAGAAGTAGGAGCGCTTAACATTTTTTAGTCATGGTCATTATTGAGAATAATGAACCTAATTAATATCTCAAACACTCTAACTGCCCATTAATGGATAAAGGAATAGCCTAAAATATTAAAGATAGTTATATTTTCTTTGAACATAAACAGTTATACACTGAAATCAACCGCTATCATCAATCAACTTTAAAAGTATAACATCACTATTGAATACTTATAATTCAATTAGTTTTTTTAAGAAAGAGTTACTGAAGAAATGGCACTTAATTTCAGTAACTTTAAAAATATAAGCCTATATACTATAGTACCTCTTAGTAAAATTTCAACAACTCTAATTAATTTGCATAAAAATATGTACACTGTCAAACTTAAGCATTTCACTCATATTAAACATTTGTTGAATGCCTACTAGATACCTACAGTAGCCGGTTTTTCATGGGCATAAAAGTAGAAAACAAATTTATCTCTTTCACAGATAATTTTACAATCTTGATAATAAGATGTACACATCTGTGAAAACAACTACTCAAAAAAACTAAAACCAGAAACGAAGTAAAAGCTGCATACATTAGTGGTAAAGGAGACAAAGTATTACCAGATGTGAGTAAAGGCAAAGAACATAATCAATCAAAAGATTTAAAATGGATATTGGTTTAAGATGAATATTGGTTCATAGTAAAACCTGAAACTAATCCAGGACTTGGATTGTCTAATCCAGGCATTGAATAAGTGCTCATTTATAATAAATGGTCATTACTGCTACCCTCTAGAGCAAGTTGTTAACAGTTACACTTTGTTTTTTTGTTACAAATAAAACAACCACATAAACTTTTATTTATAACATTTGTAAAATAAGAATAAAAGTATACACTTTAAAAAACATTATAAATTCATGCTTGTAAACTCTTTAAAACCAATGTGAAATTTTGGTAATGATGAGTTAAAAGTGAAAATTATAAAATTATATACTGTTTCCATAGCACTGAATGATCAGTAAGAAACATTCACTCCATAATCTCATAACTGTGCAATAAAATGTACATAAGATTATACTTTTGAGTTTTAAATTGGTCAAAATTAAACAGAACTAAATGGATCTTCCAAGTCAAACAGCAATTTATTAAAAATAAAAAGACTTGTTCAGCAAGACCTGATAAATGCCAGAAATGGTTATAGGTGCCTCATAAATGGTTTTCTAGTTTAATTCTTAAAACAATCCCGGTTCACAGAATTGGCTCATTTTATGAATAAAGAAACTAAAGATTTCTGAATATAATATGCCTAGTGTTACATAAAAACTAAGTAATATGGAAACTGAATTTCTCTTGTTGAATTTCTCTGTTGAGGAAGAAAATTATGAAATCAGAAATGTCAGTCTCCTCCAAAAAGACATGCTGAAGTCCTAAGCCTCAGTACCTCAGATGTGACCTTATTTAGAAATAGAGTGTTGCAGATGTAATTAGTCAAGATGAAGTCATACTGGAGTAAGTGGCCCTTAATCCATCATGACTGGTGCCCTTACCAGAAGAGGGAAGACTATTTAAAGACAAACACATAAGGAGAGAACACAATGTGATCAGAGGCAGAGATTGCAATGTTGTAGCTACCAACCAAGGAACTCCAAAGATTGCCAGAAATCCTCCAAAAGCTAGGAAGCAGCAAGGAAGGAGCACTGGCCCTGCTGACAAGTTGGTTTTAAACTTCTAGCCTCCAGAACTGTGAGGCAATAAATTTCTGTTATTTTAAGCCATCAAATTTGTACTAGGTACTTTTGTCACAACAGCCTAGGAAACTAATATAATCACTTAGATGTGATCACTTGCAATGAACTCGCAGGATTTCCCCATCAACAGCTAAGTCTTTATTCAAAATTATAAAATGTTTGAGCACTTTCTGAACGTGTTTCTTCCTGCTGGAAGTTGTTTATAACACATCTAAACCAAATCAAAGTGCTTCTGACAGCTTCTAATCCTTGATGTTTATTCTTCAACACTGGCAAAACTGGCATTATGAACTAGTTCTGACTCCAAAACCCATCATGCTTGTTCCATAGATCCACTACATTAAATATATATATATATGAAGTTTGGTGATAAGTTGTCTTGATACTTTTACCAAAATGTTACTTAAATGGTATTTTTAAAAACTTTAGTACAATTTCTGAAATTCTACAACACTTAATGAGCTGGTATGAATTTATAATATAAAAGTCACAAAAGAATTTTAGAATAGATTTTTTGAAATGCATAGTTTGCATTACATTGATTAGAATTTTTTTAACAAATATTTTGTACTTCTCATATGTTTTCCCAAACTTCCTACGTCACACACAGAATAATACAACCAACAATGGCTTAGAAAGCAGCCTGTGGCATATTCACTTAGGAGCTGTGAAACAGGAAAAATTTAGTTACTCATGAAGTTACATCTGCTTTAAATTGGGGGATCAATCCTTGCAATATCCTCCAAACCAATTGTAACTTGAAAAGACAGAATTACAATAATTTCTGGAGTTGCTTCCTTCTGGATTAACAGTGTTTAAATCCAAAACCTAAAAGTGGGAAAAAAGGAAATCCTAAAGGAAAGCATGATCCTATCGAACATATATAATACCCCTCAATCTTCTACCAAAGTCAGGGCATTGTGTAAGGGGAAAAACTACGATGTTGAGATCTTTTAATCAAGGGGGAGGCCCTAAGATTATTAAAAATGATAAAGAGATCAAGATACAGATGTTTGGTCAATAAATAATTTATTCTTTTTAAAGTAAAAGTAAGGTTTAAATTTTTGTTTTTTCTTTTAAAAATTAAAGGTCAATAAATAATTTATTCTTTTTAAAGTAAAAGATTTAAATTTTTGTTTTTTCTTTTAAAAATTAAATTGAAAAGAATAAAGGGATAATTTAGATAACAGTAGTCCTTTCTCAGAAGTTTAGACCCATTAATTTCTATCTACATAGTTTTGGATATATTCCATGTTATATATTATAAAGATATTTGTGAAATGTTGTTTCTTCTGGGAACAGTTTATGTTAGATTTGGTAACCTGATTATAATAGAGAATGCTGATCTTAAGTAGGAGATCAAATCCATTAGATAAAAGATAAATCATAAAGTAGTTTAAAGATCAAGGGAGGAAACGATATACGTATTTAAAAATAATGTACTTTTAGTATTAACTAGGATTCATTCACAGCCACATTACATTACCACCTAAATTATACTGCATTAATATAATTAATTATATAATTAGAATCGTGCTAATTATAGAAATTGTCTCATTAAATCCTCACAACCCTAAAATGTAGGCACTAATATTACCATTCTACAGCTAGGAAACTGGGTCATAAAAAGCTACAACATTTACTTCCAATCACGGAGCCAGAGACAGAGCTAACATCCAAATCTAGTTCTGCCTGCCTCCAGAGCCCACTCACTACACTATACCAATTCTGTAAGTTGGTTTTACTAATTGTAATACAATCATTTTCTTTGTTTTGTTACATTTCATTGAATGCTCTAAGACTGTGCATGATCTTTGCAAAAGTAAAAATGTTAAGTCATCCCACCAAATAATATTTAATAAATAATTATATGTGCAAGTAATCTCTCATATTCCAGAAAGGTATAAACTAAAATATTTGACCTTTATTAAGAAGAGTAAAAAGACTGAAAATGTTCTGAACCTTATTTGTTTGTAAAATTTAACCAAATAGTTAATGTGGACAAGTTCTTCCTTATATAAAAAAATAAAACACAGCTAATAAAAGCAGAAAAAATGAGAAAATCAGAAAAGTCATTATTTTGCAAACCCTAAAGAGTGAATGAATCTAGGTGATGTCATGAAATATTGCTAAATCAGTAAGTGAAAAATGGATTGATCACATCAACTCAATGATCTTAAGTAGTGCAAAATGGAGTATCTAGCACTACCTATGAAATATTTTTGACCAGAATTAAAAGAACCCAAATCTAATCAAGCCTTTAGCTCTATCGGTCTACAGAAAATTCAAGGGATATACCTACATCTAAAATGACCCTAGAATACATTCATCTTAATCTAGAAAGTTGGGACGTTCTACAAGACAGCATCCAGGTCCTTCAACAAATAAACAAAACAGAACCAAAACAATAGGGGGGCTCTTCTTGATTCTAAAGGTTATAAAATATAATCAAATAGAATGCATAGACCTTATTTGGATCCTGATTTTAACAAGCCAACTGTGAAAAAGACATTTCTTAGAAAATTAGATATTAAGGAATTATTAATATTGTTGGGCAAAGAAATAATATTGTGGTAACACTAAGAGAAAAAAGCTCTGTATCTGATAGTCATCATACTAAAGAATGTATAGAACAAATGTAATGGCCGATATTTGCTTTAAAACACTCCAGAAAAAAAGAAAGGACAGGGAAGGGAAAGATGAAATAAAGATGACAGAATGTTGATTACTGTTGCCATTAAGTAATGGGTATATCAGGGTTCATTATTCAATTCTTTCTATTATTAGGTAGGTTTGGAAATTTCCTAAATATAATGAGGAATGATGTGTGTACCTTGTTTGGATCCTGATTCAAACAATCAAATCGTAAAAGTTTTTTTTAAGAAAACTAAAGAAAATTGAATAGACTGGATTTTAGATTGTATTAAGGAGTTAATAATTTTACTGAGTATGATTATAGTATTGTGATTATTTTTTAAGTCTCTATTTAGTAGTTATATACTGAAACATTTAGAGGAAAAATTAGAAAATATCTGGGATTTGCTTACAGAAATTTACACATATATATGAATGACATCTAAACTTAAAAATACCCCAAGTGAAATAAAAGTGTGGAAGGAAATAAATGAAAGAAAAATGACAGAATGTAGATAACTGCTCCATACAGTAATTACTATAACTAATTCAAGATAATTAATTAGTTTAATATAACATAAACTCTATATTTGAAAAATTCCATAATAAAATTTTAAAGGATGATCTCAAATATGGCTTAAGAAAATACTAAATATAGCCAAGAAACTGAAAACAGCTTTTATTTTCTGAGGTTGAAAGACCTACAAATGAATAAATATATGTTTTCAATATAAGAAAAGAGTGACATTATTTTGGCAAAAAATAAATGTATAAATTTAAAATATGTTCAGATAATTCTAAGAATGAAAGTAGTAGTCGTTAAAAGATTGCAAAATTGGTAAGGAATATAGTAGGCATTCAATAAACATTTCCAAATGAACGATACTCTATAAATGATCTTTTTCCTCTTATAGTATCTAGGGAATGTTTAAAGTTTAAATTTCTATAACACTATATTCGATGAATTTAAAGTTTTCTAATTTTGATATACCTTAGAAAATTAAACTTTAAAGAAAATCTTTATCATAATAAAATTGCTATTTAAGAACTAAGAAAGGACTCTAGATACAATTTAACTCCACTGCTCACTGTACAGATCAAGATAATGAGGCCCAGAATAATAAAGCATATACCTCTATTTACACTCAAAACATTTACTCACTTCATGAGACCTGAATTCTTCTTACTAAATGGTCCGATGATTTTAAACATCAGTTCCACAACTCCATTTTTCCCTAAGGATACTGAATTCACAGCTGGGAGTGGGAGAAAAACAATATACAATAATTTTAAAAACCTCAACAAGTAGAAATGTGTATTACTGTTGATACATAGCCAAAAACATACAAATTATTTAGTACATGAGAACTCACGTCCCTCATAAAATCCATCTTAAATAATCACTTGAAAGAAAGATTTGGTATTTTTGTTTAATTTTTATGGGAAGTTGCCAGGAAATTCTGAAAGAAGTTATATAAAAAAAAAAAAAAAATGTTACTGCAAAAAAGTACTTTTAAGTCGTTCCATTTGTTTCTTCAACAAATTTAGTGAACTCTACTAAACAACTCTACTAAAGGTCATGGGGAATTAGAAACAAAAACAAATAGTGCCCGCCCTCTGAAAACACAGTGTATAAGAGAATGACAGAAACAGGAAACAAATTAATACTAAATTACTTCCCAAACAGCTTAGGAGTTATAGGCTATTTAGGTTACACCCAGTGAGGAGTCCCTAACCCACAAAGAAACAGAAGGCATTTCTAGAGAAATTGATATCTGGGCTCAGTCTTTACAAATGAGGAGTTAGCTATTACAGGAGTTGCAGTAAGAGATGGATGTGGCTCTGGAATATCTCTGGAGACAGAAACAGAGATAACGGAATAACTTCAATGAACACCTGGGTATGAGCAGTTACATGTTGTTACTCATGTAGAACCATACGAAAGCATACCAATGGGAAGATGCACTGAAAAAAGAAAGTAAACAAATTATAAAGGACCCTGTAAGTTGTTAATTCATTCAACTATTAGGGAATGCCCAAAATAAATAATCAATAAGATCTAAATTTTAAATACGGGTTAGATCACAGCACTCTGGGGATTGAAGAGAGACGTTAGGAGGCTGTGGTCTACAGCAGCGGTCCCCAACCTTTTTGGCACCAGAGTCCTGTGCTCCTATGAGAATCTGATTACAGATGATCTAAGGTGGCTGAGGCAGTGATGCTAGCGTCGGGGAGCGGTTGCAAATACAGATGAAGCTTTGCTTGCTTGCCTCCTGCTGTGCCTATTCCTAACGAGTCATGGACCAGTAATGGGTTGGGGATCCCCAGCTACAGGACAGATCATGAGACCTTTATTTAAAGCAAATGCAGTAGGGAAAAAGAGGTAACTAGACTTTCACATGAGAGATGCAAACAATTACCTAATTGGAAAATTGTGCCTAACATTTTTCAACTCTGAATATTATTTTAAAAATTATAAACCATTTAACTGGCCTTCTAGTGGCTAATTCAATAAAATGCCACCAAAAATATAGCTCTCAAAGTTTTGTATCGTAATATTAATTTCTTCTGTATCTATTTATTATTCCATTTTCCCTTCTATTTTCTGTCTGTGCTGCTTTCTTTTTTCCCAAATTGGGGTATTCAGTGGCTTATCTATCTTATTTTTAATCCAATTGTTTTATTTTTTTTTTTAGATCGGCTGTTTTTTTTTCCCCAAGGTTTCCTTCTTTACTATTTCATCCCTCTTATTTCCTTGTGTTTATTGCCCTATTACTAACTTCTGTGGTTGGCTATCCAATTCATTCATTTCTTTATGTTCTTTTTAATTAAATAAGTGTTAACTATTTTAGTGTTCAAAGCTATTTTCCCTGAGCACACCTTTAGCCATATTGCCAAGGTATAGATATAAATACAAACATACATACATATAAACATATACATATATACATACATGCCACACACACATCTACCACTTTTATTATTATTTTGCAATAATTTTCTGCAATAACATGTACTCTACAATTTCAATTTCAGGTGTTTTGTTAACCACCCCAATTCCATAGTCAGAAAACAGAGAGAAAAACCATACCTTAAGGGGTTAGGACCTAATATTAGTGAGTAAATGGGAGCGGTTGCAAGAGAGAAAGAGAGAGAGAGGGAGAAAGTGTGTGTGCGTGTGTGTGTGTGTGTGTGTGTGTGTGTGTGGAGACACTCCATCTGAGGCTATCTCTCAGTGATCCCTATTCTCTCCAGCTTCCTCAGAGGCTCCTGTACTATTTATTTTCTGTCTGCTACTTCCCTACTGATGGCTGAAGATAATTAGCTCCACATGGCTATGCTACCACATGCCTTCCAACTCCACTTTCCTCTTATCTGTGAAAATCCAAATAGGCACAGTAGTTTTCCAGCTGCCAGTAACCTCATATTCTTCCACATCTTTCCCACGGGGCAAGAGTGAGTTAACTACCAGGTGCTCTGAAATACTCACAGTTTGCAGAATATACTCGTAAAAGCTGAAGACAAGGCAAAACCAAGCGATGATTTTGCAAATTCTGTTTGACCAAATTCAGGGTTATAGTCAGAGTTCCATTAATTCTAGCTTTCACTCCAAATTTTTTGTCTGTTCAAAAAAAGTAAACAATTTATTCATATGTAACTTTGAATGAAATGAAGATGTCATAAAGCAATGAGATTCTAAAAACATATAATGAATTCACATTATCAAATGTAAAGCTGGCCTCAAACACATAAAATTACAATCATTTTCTTGTATGATTTTAAAAATATTCCTTGTACCTTTGAAACATGGCTTGAAAGGAAGTACTATGCAGCAGGTGAAAGGATAGGGCAAGGGGAGAGAAGATGGAGCAGCCCTACAGTTAAGACTGTCATTAAAGGAAGAACTTAACGAATCCACTACACATAGAAGTCTGTCCAGTCCCACACATTCGAAAAAACACCAGTACATGGTGAAAGAGAATTGTAAAAAATCTGTTTCCACAACCAATATTATTTATTTAATATTATCGGAATTCTTTTCAGACTTAAATTAATGAAAAATGAACAGTTTCTGTAGCAAATAATCTAGTAAACATTATCAAGTAAATTTCTAAAGCGGTCTAATTCTTTTTTAAATTTTTTTATTTTTCAATTACAGTTGACATTCAATATTATGTTAGTTTCAGGTGTACACCATAGTGGTTATTTACATAACTTATGAAGTTAACAGGATCTAATTTTTAACAGAAAAGGAAGAGAAGAAAAGAAGATCTTCATTTTTCTTTTCAAAGAGTTTATAACAGTAAATACGATCTGGATAACAAGAATTTAAGAATGCTGATTTTAAACAAACAAACAAACAAAAAAAAGCAAGCAGAACCAGCAAGCAGTGTTATTTCATTAACAACAGGGATCTTAAGTCAAAAAGAATTAAATATTCCTGAGGAAAAATTAAATTACTCTCACCTCACAAGAAAAAAAAAGATAGAAAATCACCCAAGAAATTACTGCATAATGTCCTTGAATGACAAAAATGAAAAACTAGGAAAATAATAAAGGAAATAGCACAAATTTAAAAATATAAAAGAAAATTCAAAAACTGAACTACAATTTAAAACATAAATACAAATATAAATTAAATACATCAATGTCTTAATTTCATGTAAGAAGATAATCTGGTTCTAAGTAGAAAAAGAAGCATAATATAACAATATTCATCACTAAAGATCATCTCATTTTATTTTTCATTTTCAGCAAAAATCTCAAAGGGAGCCCTTAAATCTCAAATATAAGAATTAAAGAAAAATAAAAGACCGCTAACAATATATTTCTTAAATAAACTGAATATATATTTAAGTCTTAAGGCTCCTACGATATCTGGAAAATTTAAGTTATTACTGCTCAGCCTTTGGCTAAGATCAAGTGTGGAAAATTAAAGTTATCTCAGGGATGCTTTCTTTACAACACTTGTTAAAAGTAATATTTAAATATTTATACAATACATAAAGACATGGATGAACTATAAATACATAAACTGTATATACATAAATATACACTTTTTAGAAAAAGCATTTTAACCAAATACTTCAAATCTTAAAGCCCACATGTATGATGCAAGGCAATGGTGGAACTTTTAAAAATCACTATTCAAAGAGTTTAGGGAACCATTTTAATCTTTGTGCAGATAGACAACTATAAACTGAACTTAGGTTATATTCAAAGGATATAACCTAACGTAATCTAACTTAAATTAACTTCCTCCTTTGGTTTCATAATGTTTTCTCAATTTGTATTTTTAAATATTTTGCACATCTTACTTTACAATAATCAGTCTTACAATTTTTTTGTATCTCTTTTGGTCTTAAATAGATTGTGAATTTTTTGGGTATTGAGATGATGCAATGCAAATATGACTATTAATAAAAAGCAGACACATTTTACCTCCAGGCTCCTCAAAGCACTCCCATCCATATGCCCTTCTTCTAGCCTCAACAATACCCATGTTATATGTATCCTTTACACATATATACACACAGGTGCATGCACACACACAAAGACACACTTAGGATTTTGATACATTTTCCTTCCTTTTTCCACAATATGCAATGGAATTCCTCATGAATTTAGGGTCCTCAATTCTTGAAGGTCAGTAATTGACTGTAAAAAGCATAATAAAACTAAGACCAAGAAAAAGCAGTAGCATTTTAGATTTTAAAAATTTACCAGTTTCAAGGCACACAAAATCCATGTTACAAAAATAGTTCCAGATTTGATAATCATACAAAGAGACTCCTTACCTTTCGGTCCAATCTTTGCAAGAATAGAATGAATCTGCACCATTAATTCCTCATTCAGGGGAGATTCCTTGCTGGCATTCATAAGCAACTGTAATAATATTTGTGAACCACCTCTGGCGACTAAGAAACTCGCTCTTCGACCGCCACCTAAAAAGAATTTTTCAAAATTTGTCTAAACAGCAAATTCTCCCGTAACATAGTATATATCACAACTTGTTAGCATTCAAGAAATATTTAAAGTGATGACTTCTGAAAAAAATGAACACCATCAAAATCAAAATTTTTGTTTCATTTATTTTAATTAGAAAACAGTAGAGAATAAATACAAGTGATGCCAAAAATTCTGTATTCAAGGCTCCTGAAACACATGGGCTTCAGGGGTAGTTTGAGTGTTAGTGGAAGATACCAATGACAAAGCAACAACAAAAGAGTATGGCATATCAGTTTCCAAATTCCAATATTCAGAATAGCCTCTACACGAATATCAGCAAATTCTAATAAAGTACACATGACACATTGTTGATCACTGTTTACAAACAGAAATTAGACCAAAGGAAACAAAAACTTACCAGCTGACACCAGCTCAACAAGAATGCTTAAGATATTAAGTGTAGTTTGAAGATCTTTCGTGTTCTGAAATAAAGTTTATTTGCTTTATTAAACCATTGTAAATCTGTGATTCTCAAACTTTTTCTGTTCCTGTTGGGAACTACCTATCTTTTAGAGATGACATTTCCAATTTCTCTAAGAACAAATGTATTCAGGTTTCCAGTATTCTCACTTATCATTTCAGTCTCTTCTTCTTGCCCTTAAGAATTGTTGCAAATAATCTGAGCTATTACTTTCTTAGTATCAAAATTATTACAAGAGGATATAATATGTCATTTGAATTTATCACTTTCTACCAAAATAAATGAATCAAAATGTAAATGGCACTACAATGTATACGTGGTGACTATCCAGTCTCCTAGCTCCCCTCTCAGAAGATAACTACATTACCTTATGTATCCAGCCAGAAAATGTGCATACATAAAAAAAAAAAAAAAAATCCAGGCAAATATATATGTATATACAAATTTACTTCTCCAAGTGATATTGCCCTACAAATACTGTTTTGTATATTGATATTTTTACATATCAATAAATAGTTTCTTCATTCTTTTTAAGAGCTACAAGATATATTTCCACTATATGGCTTAGCCAATGATTATGTAACCAGTCACCTATCAATGAGATTTTTAAAAATCTTTTGTTATTAAAAAATTGCAACAAAAGACTAAGTACATATATTTACATGGAATCAATTACATCTGTATGTGGGATGAATTCCTGGAATTTCTGAGTAAAAGAATATGAGCACGTATTTTGATGGTTATTACTAAATTGCTGTTCGTGGGGTAATTCACACTCGAACCAGCAATGTATTAGAATAACTATTTCCCAAAGTCTGGACAACCAATCTAATAAATATTTAAACACTGTATTTGGTTATATTTCTTACTAAAAGCGATACTTGCATCGCCTATTCAAGGAACTGCCTCACCCTCAGAGTAGAGGATTTTACAATGTTTACAGAAGAATTTCAGAATTGGTATGTATTGGTAACTGGCATGAGACTCTTATTCTTCCCTTTCCCAAAAGGAAATGAGTTGCCTCTGTTTCACCACTTTAGCTCACAGATTGATGAAACCAAAAAGCCCCATCCAGACCAGGTAGAGACTGTGCATTAACCAGAGACTCTTGTCTTAGCATTGGAGGGATTAACTGGACCACTGACTCTTTGGAAAGGAATTTGGAAGAATGAGAGGAACAGATATTTGTCAAAGAGAAGAATGGATGTGGCAGCAATACTGCTCTGTGTTCAGCAAACTGATTCATATTCTTCCTGGGTACACAGCCAAACCACATTTTCTAACCCTTTTGTAATTACGTTTTGTGCCATGTGACTGAGCTCAGGCTGTTGAAACCTGAATGGAAGTTGCACTGTTATCTCTAAGCCTTACCCAGACAAGTCTCCCATATGTAATTCACCACCTCCCACCCCTGCTGACCTCAATAAATTGTGACATGAGTAAAGAGGGAGAAAAAAAACCCAACAATGTTCAATCTCAAGTACAATTTGTTTCTTTCTCTGGGAACTGTGTGTTCATAACCTTTATATGTTATTCTATGGGGTTGATTTTTTTACCTTACTATTTTGTGGAAGTTCTTGATATGTTAAAGAAATTGTATGAGTTGAAATATTTTTTCCTCAATTTGCCAAGTGCGTATGGTGTTTTTTCCATACACTTTTGTAAATGTAGTTGAACTGATCAATTTTGCCCAACTCCTGTGTTTTTTCACACTTAGAAGTCTTTCCTGTTGTCAGATTATTTAAAAATTCCTCTCATTACTTCTTCTAGTTATTATGATTTTATTTTCCATGCTTAAATATTTGCTTGATATAGATTTTATTTTGGTGTGTGAAGTAAGGAGCAATTTAGAATAAAATAACAGCTTAATGTCAGTTTTGACAGGAAGTAATTCCTATCAAAAAAGCAGGAACTAACACCCTGTTCTTTTTTTTCCAGCTCTATAGAGATAAAAGTTGACATACAAGACTATGTAAATTTAAGGTGTACAACGGTACTTTCTCCTTGTTTTTAACACTGCACTGAGTAAAGTAAAAAATCCTGATTCTGATATATTCTGCTGATCTACCTGTATATATAGTAAACTAAATCACAAACATATATCAGCTAATATAATACAATAAATGAGAATTTCTGATATCAATCATTTATTTTAAACTAATTTCCTAAGCAAATGCTTTCTTCTCTATTACCAATCAGAATGGCATGTTAAGATTTAAAATGTGGCTATCATTATAATCATAGAGAAGCATACTTAGAGGTTTACCTAATATATATTAGAATGTTCATACCACTATTCCAAATGTTAATTTAAACATAGAACAAACCCATTCACTGGCTTTACGTCTAGGATAAAAATTTCATATTTCATATACTTTTTTTTTTCCTCCACTGACGTTTGGCATTAACAGATACATAATAAAGTTTGCCAGTGACTCACCTCTAATGTTGACAGCAGGACTTCCATTCCTGTAGAACCTTTGGCTGTCATTTCTCTCCTTGTTTTTTCTGAAAGTAGAAAAAAAATCTCTTCTAAAATATGAAAGAAAAAATTACATATAGCTTTATTATACACCTAACATAAAATCAACATGTCTCCACTGGTCTAGTAAACACTTTATATTGGTTCTTAGATGTTTCTCCCTCTGATGTTGCTAATGCTACTCTCCGGGGGCTTCCGGATATCAGTTCAAGGGACCTCCCTTGCACTTCATCACAGTTCCTATCATGGACTCGGTGAATCCCTGTTGGTCCACCTAAAATCTTAAAATCATTAACATAGTTCAAGTACTAGAACTGGAAGTGAGGTAGGAATGGTAATGGCAAAGCTCTTTATCATCTTTATGAGAAGACCTAGAAAACATTTCATCGAAATTGATGAAAAGAGAAACCTTGTTCCACTTTTAAATGTTTTTATTAAATTAATACTTTTTAAAAAATTCTGACTCACACAAAAACAAATAAAACTAAGGAAGAAAAAAAAGTATAAATTATGCCTATTAAAGGTTTCTAGAGCTTCTCCACAACTCTCCTTTGATTACTAAGAGAAGAAAGGGGAGCATTTGAGATCTTGCTCCCCATTACGTCGTCAGTTTTGGCTCAAGTAAACTCATCAAAATTCGCTACAGGTTTGGACATTTCTTACATTGGCATTTGCATGATGTAGTTAGCAAGATTCTGAAGAAGTCCACCCTTCACCTTTCAATCCCAGACCCGGTACTAGATGCAAGCAAGCAAGGAAGGGCCCATTGCATCCCACTGGCTCGCACTTTGCATCAGGTGAACTTGGGTGAGTCTTCTTTCAGAATTCCAGGCCTCCTTGCTGTAAGTAGTAGGCCATGACTTTATTTGACCTGTTCTTAGAAAATCCTCAAAGTGAATAAGGGTTGAGACAACCTAGAAAAAAAATAATGGGCTGCTGCTCTTAATTCTGGCTTTTGATTACTTACTGAAAGTCTGAACAAAATTGTTGCTGCTGAAATGATAGACTGAACCCTCTCGAGCTCTGAAAGAGAAAGGACTCTTGCCTCCCCACTCCAAATAGCCAATGAGATGATGATAGCTATTGCAGAGTCCCAAATCCAGACTGGCAGACGTAGGTGCCACAAGGCATCCAGTACAGTAAAGCAGCCAATCCCAGAGAAGCTGGTGGGAGCCCAGGGAAGGGGATGTGGGGTAAATAGAGAAGGCAGTGCACCCTGGAAGGAGTTCACTCCAAGAGAGAGGGGGCCCAAGTCTTGGAAAGTGTTGTAGTTCTGGCGGCATGCAGGAAGCTCTCATTGGCCCTTGCTCAGGTATTCTTCGGTGACTAAGAATCTTTGTGAGGTTGCCTGAGGAAAAATTTCCTCTAGGGCATGAAATAGTCCTATAAGGATATTCACCGCCTTTGGCTTGTATGGACATGTGCACGTAAGGGCTGGTTTTCCCTAAAAGTTTATTCAGACTCTACAGATCTCAAAATTAACATGGGAAATCATGCCTTCAAGGCCAACAAGTATCAGGACAGTCAATTTCCCATTAATACTAAAATGGCCAAGATAAGGATCCTTTGATACTTCTAAATTAATCTTTTGCATGCACAAGAAAAGGTCAGCTATAAAATTAGGTAGAACGAATGAAAAGCATATATTTAATTGGTCTCTCAATCTTTCAAAAAAGAAGATTTAGATAAACAGATCAACCTATGATGTCACTTGATGTCAACTCAATTCCTTGAGGTATTTTAATAGCTGTCCTTATTTTAAAAGTAGAAAGGTCATTTGGAATTGACTTGTCAAGGACAGATAAAAATTGTAAATGCCTCAGAAACAAAATTTGGATCCAGGAGTTCTATAAGGTCTCTGGGTCTGTATATGTGTCTCTATATATGAAACTAATTCAAATGCTTTTGAAGTTCACATAATCTAAGATTAATCTTTAGTAAATAAAAGCTAGCTTAAGTTTGCTGGTCTAAGTAAAACAGACATTATTTTACTTAGGTTTTATAAAAATGAGCCTATGTTAATAACTGGCTTTGATGTCTATGAAATGTTTCTAGAGATTATAAAATGTCTTCATAAATCTGCCAAGCTAAAGAATGCCAACTTCTTAGTTTTCATTAGAAATTGAGATTTTAAGGGTTAAAATCTCAATATATGTAGAAATAACTTTGTGGTGTTCCAAAAGGGTCCCTGAAACACTTTAAAAGATCTGTCTTTTATGTTAAACTGCACAGGAAAATCATAATTAAGAAAACAAACAATCGAGGCCATGGGAAATCCAAGATGGCCACTTGATTCTTCCCTGCTCCCTGGCTCTCCATTTTTCAGTTTTTGTGTTCCTTCATACATCATAGGACATTTAGCTGGCCTTAAGTCAGACGAAAGAACATGTGAGCTGACATTTTTGAAAGGAGACACCTTACACTATTGCCAAGGTTTGATAAAGGTATTTCAAGAAAATACAGAAAAATGAGACAGTAAAACTTGGATCAGAAAGTTCACAGGATATAAATGATCTAGAGTGTTTTTCCACAATTAAGGTCATAAGCCCTGACTGCCTACCATTTACCTGCCCTTCTCTTTTTGGGAAAATTCGGTCTCAACTCACATCCCATGGTTACAGTATTGCCCCATCCACAGTGATCCACCATTTCAACAAGACAATGTAGATACTGAGACTTCCTGAGAATGAGCCTTCCTACCGCTGTCAGACCACACTATCCAACCAAAAGGCTGGTCATCAATGCATCTTTTGGATTGATTTATGACCAAAAGGGGATACTGTGGACAAAAAAGGAGTGCTGTAATAAATCATAAATTGCTAACTGGGCAGGTCATGATGGACAGTCATGCCCCAGGTATATAATTTTATTTGTAAAACCAAATTCCTCTGTTTTAAAAAGTATGATTCTTCTGCCAACCCAACCTATCCATCATTTTTCACCTTCTGAGCTCCTCACCTGCAAAATAAATAAAATATTGTTTAGGTATCCCTAATGCATCCTATTTTAAATAAGGCCACTGATTTAATATTAAAACCAAATTATTTTTCAGTATTAACATCACACATAATATTCCAAAGATTAAGATCCCCACTACCAATAAACCATTACATTTTCACCTTCAGGGAAACAGACCACCCTCCCCACCTTCGCCCACCAAAAAATCCTCTTCTCCTTTGAAGACAGTACAATGCAACCTCTAACTTCCCTGGTCATAACATCCACCACCATCTAGTTTATTCCTCACACTAAATGAAAACTCGATGCTACACAGTTTTCTACTCTACTCTAAATTCTACCATGATCTTGACTTCAGTATCACTGTGGATGATTCATTCAAATACCTAGTTCCATAAGTTATCCATCTTACGACAACAAAATCCTTCCTTCCATGGTCCAATTTACCAACCCTCTCAAATTGCTCTATCTCTGATATCTTGAACTTCCAATCTCCCACTTTCAGACCACAGTCTCCTAACATTCCTATTCCTCTTTTCTTTCTAAGGTTTATGTAAAACTCACTGTTACTTTTATTGAAACTTCCAATTCATAAACAGTAGTGCTGTTTTACCATAAAATCAGTGCGTACCTCGCTTGGATTCCAAGCCCCATGCTTTAACCTTCACCACAAATCCTTATACAGAGGTGAATGCTAAAATGTGCATTCTCTACTCCTAAGTCACAGTAAATATAATGCCGCAATAATTTCTTCTTCTAATTTCATACTAGTAGTACCAAAAAAATTCACCATTTCCATGTCATTTGAGAACACAAAACTTTTTTTCACTTATCTCAACTCACAACCAACACCATGTTCCTTACAAATAAATAGCCTATAGTTATTCTAAAATTTGTATCAGTCCTCAATCCCTAACCCTCTGTTCCCCACTCTCAGCATCTACACTTTCCTCAACGAACTGAGGCAAAGTGATCAGCTACCACAGATGAAATCCTACAAATGATGACAAAACTCCATATCTTCATATATCAAATCCTTAATAATCCTGCTTTTCTTTCTCCAGTCTGGGGGAGAGGAGAAGGAAGTGTCCCTTCCACTATGTTCTAAATCCCATTCTTCCTACTACTCATGAATCTATACACTGTTTTTTATTTTTCCACATACTTAACAGTCCTTATCTTATCTTGCCTCCCCTTTTATTTCTTTCTCAATGAAGCTCCCCAAACAAATAGTCTCACCTCCTATTATTATTTCATTTTCCACTCCCATTACAACATATGTAATCTTCCTTCCAATCTCACCACTTTAAAGTGTTCTTGTTATGGTCAAATCCAAAAGATCCTTATTTTAACTAACCTCTCTGTTACTTACATTGCTGACTACTGCTTCCCCTCTTGGCTTCTTTTTAATAGCCTTTCCCAGTTCTTATACCATATGTTTTCTTCAACTTTCAATAATCAAAATGGACAAGAATTTTAAAGCAGCTATTATAATTATGATCAATGACATTCAAAACATAAGCTCATAATGAATAAAAAGATAGGAAACCACAAAATATATAAATTATTTTTTAAAAAAAGACCAAATTCACATTTTAGAATAGAAAAATACAATAAGCAAATTAATTAGATTAACATAATGGCAGAATACAGAGGAAAAAAGCGGAGAACTTGAAGATAGAAAAATAAAAATTATCCAATCTGAATAGTAGAGAGGATTAAGATTGAAAAATATGAGCCTCCAGGACCTCTGAAACAATCTCCAAAAGGCTGATGTATGTATTACAGTCCCAGAAAAAGAAAAGAGAAAATAAGAAAAATATTTGAACAGCCAAAAATTTCAAATTTGAAATGAAAACATAAATTTACAGATTCAAGAAACAGAAAATTCAAAGCAGGATTAATATTAATAAAAATACACCCAAATCTCTCAAAACCAAACTAAAGAAAAATTCTGAGATCAACCAGAGAAAAATGATACATAACTTTCAGGAAAACAAAGATCCAAAACAGCAGACATCTCCCTTGAAATTATGGAGGCCATAAAATAATGGAAGCACTATTTTAAGTGCATTTTATAGTGCCAAAAGACAAAAACTGTCAACTCACAATTCTCTATCCAGTAAAAATATACTAAGAATTAGGTGGAATAAATCCATTGTCAAATAGAAGAAAAAAGACTTCCACAGCAGATCTGCACTACTAAAAATGCCAAAGGAAATTTTATAAGCAAAAGAGAAATGATACCATATCAAGCTCACATGTTTAGGAAAGAATAAAGAGCTTCAGAAATGATAAGTATCTGAGTAAATATAAAAACTACTTTTTTTCTTCTTATTGTCTTTAAAATACAGACAACTGTCTAAAGCAAAATCGTCTTGTAGAGTTTATAATGTATATAGATATGATACATATAAAAACTATAGCTAAAGAACAGTAAAAACTATAGCTAAAGAACAGTAAATGGATCTATAAAGTTCCAAGGTTTCTAAATTTTACTTGATGTTACAATATGAATTCTAAGTGTGAAAAATGAATGATGTTTATTATGATCTCCAAAGGAACGACTTTAAAAATGCAAACAGATATCACTAAGAAATAAATAAGTAAATTAAAATGGAATTCTAAAAAATGTTCAAATAATCCAAAAGAAGGCAGGACAAGAAGAAACAAAGAATAAAAACAGAAAATACAAACAGAAAACAAATAATAAAATTGTAGACTTAAGTCCAATCAATATTACATTAAATGTTAACAAATAAATGCTCGAATTAAAAGGCAGACAATGTCAAACTGCTGTCTATAGAAGACATACTTTAAATTCAAAGATACAAATAAGTTGAAAGAAAAAGAATGGGAAGCAGCTATAGCATGCAAACGATGACCATAAGAAAGTGGGAGGGCTGGAGGGAGGGGCTATACTATTATCAGACAAAATATACATCAACACAAAATTACCAGATATAAAGAATATTCCATAATGATAAAAGGTTAAATTCATCAGGACATAGAAACTATAAATGTGAATGCACTTTCTCATTTTCATAGGATCCACTTATAGCCATGTATAAAATGTAGATAGTTTCCAGGACACAAATTTCACCTTTCTCCTTCTACAATCCTCCCAAAATTTCACTCCACTTCCATTACTTTAACTACCAAGCTTTTGGCTCTTAAGCCTGCTCTTCATTCAAAACTCTGTACTGAATTTTTCACATTTTTTCCTAACTTCTTTACAAGGCATTAAATTATGTAAGCAATAATTATAACATTGCATTGTTGGGTTTCTAACAATGCAATGGAGTGAAAAAAAAATGATGCTATATTAGAGGAAAGTTTCAATGTTTTACCAGAATTACATTAGTATTAATCTAAAGTTTGCTGTAATAATATGCATATTACAATCCCTACAGGAACCAGTAAGAAAACTAAAACTTAATTAAAAAATCAACAGGTAACACAAAAGAAGGCAGTAAAGGATGAGAGAGGAATGTAAAAGATGAAACATATAGAAAACAAACAACAAAATGGCAGATTAAGTCTAATTATATGAATAAATACATTAACTTGGAGCAATAAACACTCAGATTAGATAAAAAAGCAAGATCCAGCAATATGCTATCTTTGAGAAGCACACTCAAAAATGAAAAACAGAAACAGGTTGAAAGTAGGAATGGGGAAAAAAGTATAATATGTAAAAAATAACCATAAAACAGATGGAGGGGTTGTATTATTATTAGATGAAACATTTTAAATCCAGAAATATTACTGGAGGCAGAGACACTACATAATGATGAAAGAGTCAAATCATCAGGGATTTTTCACATTTATGTTCCTAAGTGCAATGTTAATACTTTTCTCTCTTGTACTCTGTCAAGGTTTTGATACCAATTCAGTAGTACTAGCTTCCTATAATAGAAATATCATTTATTAAACATTTTTAACATTCTTTTAAATATAAATCTCATAATAATCACATGATCTCTCTTATCTCAGAATAATCATATCAGCTCTCTTATCTCTAGTTCAGAAGATGGTGCAGCAAAGTCCTAAAGATTAAAACTTCCCTAAGGTCACCCAGCCACTGAATGACAGAGACTGAATTTCGAAGTGGAGATCATACTAATAACCAATGTTCTATGTTACCTGACATCTTTTTCTCAACATTCTAGAACAAGCAGCACTGGAATTAGTATTGTTTGAAAATTGGAGGTGGGGAAGAATTCATACATAAGTGAAATCATAATCACTTTTTAGAAACAACGCTTTGAAGATCAATTTTTTTCACAGTGATTCCATTTTCTACTTCTTGAGTCTATTTGAGAAAGTTCAATTTCTACAGAAAATCATCCATTAAAAGTTTGAACGTTCTTAACATATACTTTTAAAGAAAAAAGCATTCCTAAAATTAAATTAAAGCTTACCTTGACTTTGAGCCAGATGAAGAATTTTTGATGTAACATGTCTGGCAGTATCTGATTCTGTAGATTCAGTATTGATCTTTTCCAGCTGAGCCAGGAGTCCAACAACCCGAGAATTATTGGTAAGGCTTAAAAGAATGTTACTTTAAATTAGAGACCATCCCACATTGATTGTAAATACATTACTATAAAGATCACTATTAAAAAAATTCTACCCTTCTAAAACCACAAAACATTTATACATATCATATTTCCTATCTTTTATAGTTTAACATTGCTAAAATTCTGATTTAAGTGAGAAACACATCCTACTTTAGAAAACCACAAACGTGTATTCGACCCTGTCCAGCAATCTTACATCACAGCCTGGAAGTTCACCTTTCCACTCTCCAAGACTTTTTACACTTTCTACATTCTCCTCAAAAACGTCTAACCATCCCTTCCACCTCACTGTTAGTGTTATACTTTAACTGTTGTAAAATCAAACAAGAATACATTCATTTTCCCACCACCAGATCCTTAAATCATCTGATTCTCTACCCACATTCTTTCTTCCTTGTTCCCATTCATTATGAATTTGGTACTGTTCTAGGTGTTGCCAACAATAAACAAAACAAACAAAAATTCCTGCCTCTCACTGAGTGAACATTCTAATGGTGACAAAGTAAATATGTATGTAGTTATATAGTATTAATGTAGTGATATAGTATTATTAATATAGTATTAAAGTGCTATGAAAAAAGGCAGGGAGAATAAAAAGTGCAAGGAGGTGGGGTGCAATTTTAGAGTGGTAAGGGAAAACCTCACTGAAAGAGTACCATTTAGGAAAAGGCCTAAAAGAAGTTAGGAGAGTCAGGTGTGCAGATACCTACAGAAAGAACGGTCTAGTAAGAGTCACAACCACCTAGATACCAAGGCAGGAGCATGAATGTTGTATTCAATTAAAAGTGAGGTAGCTGGTGTGGCTTCAGCAGGCTTAAAGAATAACAGTAAGAGATGAGGTCAGAGTTGAGGGTGGGGCAGGAGAGAGCATGATATTTAGAGCCTTGTAGGCCATTGTAAGAATTTTCGCTTTTACACTAAGTGAAATGGGAATAGTGAACAGTAGAGAGATATGCTCTGATTTGCCTTTAAGAGGCTCTCTTTGGCTGGTGTGTTGAGACTCAAAGAACAATTCCCCACTTGTATACTTGACCCCAGCCCTTCTCTACCCTGAGGTCTCCCCAAAACCTCCTATGGTCGCTTCTTTCCTCATCATACTCAGAATCAGCACTATCCAAATCAGATAGCTCCCTCTTTCTACAAACACTCCTCTTTGAGCTTCGATGACTCCATACTCTCCTGATTTTCCTTCTATCACATCTTTTAGGTTTCCTCTATTGGCTTTTCCTCTGACACACCTCTAGATAAAGTCCCCCCACCGCTCTATCCCCAGCTCTCTTAGACTTTTCATTCTCTCCACTCTTCTGCCCTGAATGACTTCATCTAATCTCACAGCTGTAATTATAATCTACATGTTGCCTGGCACCTATATTCGACTCTAGCCTCTGTCTTTGATATTTTACCCAACCTAACAAGGCCTCTCAACCTATTTCTCTTCCAATCTTCACCTTCCCAAACACACATAAAACCATCGGTTGTTCAAGACAAAAATCAAGACCCCCTTTTCCACACATCAACCCAATACCAGCTCCATCTCCAAAACATCTTAAATCCCTCTGCTTCTCTCCATATCTATAATTAATACCTAAGTCCAAGCAATCATCATCTCTCACTAGGAAATTAAAGCCTCCTAACTAATCTTTCATTCTTTCCATCCCATAATCCATTTTCCCATCATCACAGTGAGTTTTTTAACTTTTTAATTATAAAAACTCCCAGGAAGTTGCAAAAATAGTAGAGTGGTCCCTTGAACCTGTCACCTAGTTTCCCCAATCATTACAGTTTACATAACTATAGGACAACAGCAAAGCCAGGAAATTGACATTGGCAAGTGTATAATTCTAAGCCATTTTATCACTATGTGGACTTGTGTAACCACAAATATAATCAAGTTGTCATTCACCTAAAAACCCTTTAATGGTGTCCCACCAGACTTTAAGTAAAATCTTACTTTTTTATCACAGCCTAACAGGCCCTAGGTCATCTAGCCTCCATATATCTTAGACTTTATTTTTCACATTTCCCTCATGCACTGGGATCCAGCTGCACTGGCCTTCTATCAGTTCCTTGGATACAGCAAGTTATTCCCTAACCTCAAGGTCTCTGCTGTCTTCTCAACCTCAAGGACAGTTTCTTCCACATCTTCACCTGGCAGGCTCCTTCTCATTTCAGGTTACAACATAAAGATGCCCCCACTTTTCTACCAGCCCCTCCACTTCCAATACTGAAATGTACCCCATAGATTTTATCACTATTTAAAACAATGTTACAAGATCCATGAAGGTAGAGACCTTGCATATCTTATTCTATATACTCAGTATTTCAGACATCGGCTAGCACAGAATAGGCAATACCAGAGCCCTATTCCGGAATGAATTGAAAAATCTGAAAACATATTGAAAACAGTATACATATTTTTACTTTATATATAATGTTACAATAAAACATTATATAATTTTCTGATTAACAAATGTGCCAAATGGTTTAAATTTAGAGGCACTCACCTGAAAAGATATTTGGAGGTTGAAAAAACATTGAGCATACTATTTGAAAAATGTACCTAATATACCATTTAAAATAAAATAATGCAGTATTTCTCAATAGCCAACATAATACAGAAATGAAAATATATCGATATGTATAAATCTCCAAATGAAAAACCCCCCAAAAAACTAAGAATATATACAGTATATCATTAACAGTTTTAAAACATACACATTGAATACATATATTCTTAGGTATTAGATTTAATACCTAAGAAAATTTATTTTATATAGAGACATATATGGAAATGAGGAACACCAAATTCAGAATAGTAATTACCTCTAGAGATAAGGGGGGAAATGTTATTAGAAAATAGTACACATCATATTTGTAACTTTTTTATTTCTTGGGTGATTGTATACAGGTATTCATTATATTATTCTCTATCCTTTTTGGTTTTCAAAATTATTTTATATTTTTTTAAATAAAAAATTCTATAGAGACAAATTATATGCTTAAGTTTTCATATATTTTCATTTTCTTCCAAAGTTCCAGGAGAAAGAAATCTCTTAAAACTGTTATCGTAAATCTAAATGAGCAGAAATGTCAACATTATGGAAAATTCCAAAGGTGAAAAACAACAACAAAAAAAACAGAATAATGAACTATCATGTACCCATCACCCAGCTTCAAGAATTATCAATTCACAGATAATTTTATTTCACATATGCCTACTCACAGGCACACACATCTCACTTTTGAAGCATATGTCAGAGAGATAATTTCCTCTGTAAATTCTTTGGCATTTTCTATTTTCTAAAATGGAACACACACACACACACACACACACACACACACACACACTAGAACTACTATACCAAAACCAATAATAATCCTTTAATATCCAAATCTGGTCATAGTTCAAATTTCCCAAATTCATATTCTCCCTCATTTTCTTTAACGGTTAATTTGTACAAATCAGAAACCAAATGCGGTCTATATATTGCATCTGTCTTCACTGTTTCTTTTTTCCTCACAATTTATTTGTTAGAAGCTTGGTGGTCCTGCATTCTGGATTTTGCCAATTACACATCCACAGTATCATTAATATGCTTGTCTATCCTCTATATTCTCTGTAAACTGGTAGTTGAATTTAAAGCCTTGCTTTGGTGACATGTGGTACTGTAATCTTATATAAAAAAAGCAAAAAGTGTCTGATTATCTTTTTGTAACATAAGCAGTCACTGGTCACCACTACCTAGATCCATTATTCCATTAAGGGTTGAAAAACAGTGATACTCTTATCATTCCATTCCTTCTTCATCTATTAACTAAGATAACTCTATACAGAGAAAAATCTCTTCTTTGATTATCCAAAGGTACAATTCATCAAATAAGAGCTAAATAAATGCTAGATTTTTTTTTTTTAGATTTCTAATTTACCTATATTTACCAATTTTCAGAATGAGTTTATTTCCTAAAGTCTTCCCCAAGTAACCAATGAAGTATTTTGGTTTCGTGTATCAATATGAACTCATAGATTTAAACACATTTGATACATTTTATCCACTGCAGTTATTAATGCTCAAATGGTCCCATCTTTGATGAATGGGAGCCTCTTGAAGCTGGTACCTGAGTGTTTTTGATACGATCCTAGTCTTTGATAGAGAGCTTCCTGGCTTTCTGGTATATAACAAGACTATTATCAACCAGCAGTCCTTAATGTACTTTACAGAACTTTGAGAGTACCGAGGACCCTTTCTGAAAATCTGCAAGGTCGAAAACTATTTTCATTAAATACTAAGACATTATTTGACACTGTATTGACATTTGCACTGATGATCGAAAAGCAATGATGGGTAAAGTGCCAGCACCATAGCACAAATCAAGGCTGTCACATCAAACTATACAGTAGTTAACGTGTTCTTCACCACCATACTCAGTTAAAAAACAAAAATGCTAGTTTCACCCAGTATACATCTCTTTAATATTCTTGTGTACATAAACATTTCAACTGCACACTGAAATATTATGTTTACCTTGGGGGAAAATACTGTGTAACTGTTTAAACTGTAAGCTGAACTAGCCACTTTTTTCACAGAACATCATTTTTACTTTAAAAAATGACTGACGAATAATGATCATTCAGACTGGAGTATTTTGACATTCATTTTTCGGAAATAATAAAAAACAAAAAACAAAGTGAATCTATCATTTCAAGAAAACATCTGATCAATTTGTTGTCAATGATAAAATTTGAGCTTTCGAGCAAAAAACAGAATTTTAAACGTGGATCTACCATCATGACCTTGACAGCTCCCTCCTAACTAAAAAATTTCCTGATAAAAATCAATAGTGATATTAATAAATGTAATTGTTAATGCTGTGTAATAAAATGTGTCAATATTTACAAAACCTGCATAACTCATGGAATCAGTATTTCCCCAATGACCAACTTTTGGTGTTACAAATCATATATGAGTTAAAGAACCATTCAAAGTGCACATGAAACCAATGGATTGTAATGTAACAGAATAAAAAGTTGACTAACGTGGTTTCAGATCCCATACTGGAACTAACCTGTCAAAAACAACCACTTACCAAGTTTTAGTATAATATCAAAGAATATTCATTTCAATTTAAATTTCACATGATATGGCTTTATTTCCAAAGTACATTATTATCATTCAGATAGGTTTATTCTTCATTTATAACTATTACTCTTGTTTTAATCACCTTTTTACTATTTCTCTCCAAATACTGAACACACAACTTTATTTTCCTCTATCATAAATCAAAGGACAATTATTCACAATTATCTGAAAAGGCCTTTTATTCAAGTACTCCCTCTTTTTCCAATTACATATCTATGTGCACCCAGATTGTCTTCATATCCTATAATAAGAACACCACACACACAAAATACATGTATATAATATACACACTGATACATATATCATGACAGATTGAACTCAGAAACAGATAAGAGATTGTCTTCCATTAAGTAAAACATTAAAGACATTTGTAAAAATGTAACATAATAATGCCACTCATCACTATTTTCTGAAACTATAGTTATTTTAATACAAAATATTACTTTATGCATGTATTATTTCTAAACATTTTTTTAATTTCTCACTTTTAATTTATAATATATTAGATATCAAGAGATAAAATAACCCACACTGACAAAAACTTCTTGGAGTCTTCATTAATTTAAGAGCACAAAATAATTCTGAGCTAAACCTATTCCTAGGCTTATCTTGCACATTTTGTGCTCCTGATCTGGAATTGACCGTTTCTCCAAAGAGCCCTAGTTTTTAGTTTGCATACTAGAAGAAACACATCATTAAAAACAGTTCCATAATCCAGATTTAACAGAAATTTGCATTACAGGAATCAAAATTCTGAAATTTAATAATTGAGTTGTTTTTAATTTTATCCAATTATTTTCCTCGAAGATCACGTTATAGTATTTTTTAGTAGCTAATAAAGCATCTATATTGAAAAATTCAAAAACATACAAATCACACTAAGTATAGCACATTTTCTACTCCATTCCAAATTAAGAGTTTGTTTTGTCAGTAACTCTTAAAATTTTTAAAGTATAGCACTATCAAAAATAAGACTTTCTTCTAAGTGATTCCTTCTGAGAATCGTGCTCTATCAAATGACATACAGATAGATGAATTTTTTGAAGAAAGGCAAATAAATGGAAATTCAGAAGACAGGCAAGTCAATTTCCCTATTTATACTTTTTTCATCTACGTAATAAAAACTGAACAAAATATTCTAAGCCACCCTTCAGTCAGCTCTAAGAATTTAAGGCTGTTGACAATAATCTTGAGAAAATCACAGGGTGAACACCAGAGGGCAGCTCTACCTTCTGAATAATTTTTAGACTTTAGAAAATCTGAGAGTAAGGGCAAAAAAAAAGAAAAAGCTATATAGCTATTCAGTGAACAATTTGAGACACGTTGAGAAGCAGAAAATTTTTAAATAAAGAAATGTATCTTCCCTGCCTTATTTTATTTGTTTTGGAGGAATCAAAATAAGGCTAAAACCAACCTTCAAAGGTCCTATTTATAACTGCTAATTATTTTATACTAAGAAAAATCGTGGAATTAAAAATATGATCAATGTGAAATACATGCTAACAAGTTAACTGTCAAATGTATATTTTAAAGACATTATCACTCAAATATTTGTTTCACTGTACTGGTCTCTTACAGCTTTTGAGTCTTTGAGTTTACACTCAGTCTTTGAGCTATTTTCCTAAAAATATAATTTTTTTTAGATATTACAAAAGTTCCAATGGTATACAGATATTACCTTTGCAATAAATAATTTCCTAAGCAATGCAAGACTTATAGAACCTATCTTCATATTATAAATAAATTTTATTACCTCTTTCACCTTAAAATGTAAATCATATGCAGAAAGTAAAGATGTCCTCATAGAGTAAAAACATCTGACAGCAAAAAAATCCATAAAAATATACTAGTTTTAGACTTAAACAGGACTCACAGAAATTAAGATTTAATTTCAAGCAATATAGTTTTACTTCTAAAATGCACATTATCTTTCAGAAATGTTTACTTCTCATTTATAACTTTTATCTTTATTTATTTTTATTACTTTTGCTTTAATCACATTTTTACTGTTTCTCTCAAAATGCTGAACACATAATTTTATTTTTCACCATCATAAATCAAAGGACATGAAAAATAGAAATTCCATTATCATTCTTTTATAAAACTCGTGCATTTAATACACCTAACCTACCAAACATCATAGCTTAGCCTAGCCTACCTTAAATGTGCTCAAAACACTTACATTAGCCTACAGTTAGGCAAAAATCATCTCACTGCTGCTGCCCAGCATCACAAGACAGTATTGTACCATGTATCACTAGCCAGGAGTACAAGAAAGATCAAAATTCAAAGGACAGTTTCTACAGAAAATGTATTGCTTTCCATCATTGTAAAATTGAAAAATTGTAGGTCAAACCATGGTTAAGTCAGGGACCATCTGTGCTTTTTCCCCTCCTTATATCCCTGGAAAATACTTTTGTGACTTCTCAAAAGTGGCCAGATAATAAATGAGCACAGCTCTATTCCAATAAAGTTTATTTATGTACAATGAAATTTGAATTTCACATAATATTCATGTGTCGTATAATATTATTCTTTTTCTTTTTTCCCAACTATTTAGAAATGTAAAAACCATTCTTAGCTCACAAGCCACACAAGAATAAGAGGTGGGCCAGACTTGGCCCATAAGGCATAGTTTGCTAACCCCAGCTTTAACTGAAAAGTTAAACACTGATAAAATAATATAAATACAGTTGACCCCTGGGCAATGCGGGGGGTTAGGAGCACCAACTCCCACCCCCATGCAACTGAAAATTCGGGTATAACTTTTGATCCCCAAAAATTTAGTTGCCCTTGGTGTCCACAGGGGATTGGCTCCAGGACCCGCTGTGGATACCAAAATCTGTGGATGATTTGTATAAGATGATGTATACCAATGCATACAGTCAGCCTTCAGCATCCACAAAAACACAACTGTGGACTGAAAACAGTACAGGAATTTATTGAAAAAAATCCATATAAAAGTAGAACCACGAGTTCAAACCCATGTTGTTCAAGGGTAAACTGTAAAACATACTATTATTTTAAATATTTTTAAGTAATGAGTTTCAAATAACTGCTTCATGTATTATTTCTGTAATTTATACATATCTAAATTTAAAATTACAGTACCTTTTCTCTGATACCACTTTTAACTTGCTCATCTTGAGTTACTTCATTTCACCATTGCAGATAATCTAAGAAAAAAAAAGTTAACGATATTAAACACACAATTCTGTTTTCTATACATTAGATGTCATAAAAGGCATAGAACTGAAAGTTTTTATTATGGGCAACACAAGATAACACTGAAAACCAAAAAAAAAAAAATGTTTGAGTTTTATGTGCTTTTGGCAAGTCACTTCAACGTGCAATATTTGACTATTACCTAAAATCAACCAGTAAAAAATATCATCAAAGTCCTGGAGCTACAGAAATGCAAAAACCTAATAACACAATTTATAATCTAGTGCTAAGATTTCTTTTGAGACAGTTCAAATGATCCTTCCTTTTCTAATATTCTGCTTTAAAATACTCAAAGCAATCATACATAGCATACTGTGATAAGTATACTTATTGTCCACCATTCACACAGTAGTCAAACACTGGTAAATATGTACGATTATTTCTTTTTTATTAAAAACAAATTGTTTAGACAGTAAAAAGCTTCTATAGTATCATCCCAGTTAATGTACATAAGGAATATTTTCCTTCAATCTGTATAGGTTTCATCTTTACAAAGTACATACTATACATTTTAAAACCTTAAATTTTGATTCGCAACATTTTTAAATTTTTCAGAATTATTTTGTAACTGTTCACCCCAAAAAACTCTGGATAGCTTTTAATTTTATATAACAATGCTTACTGAAGCAGAATTTTGTGGCATCACTAAAAAGCAGAAAACTTACTGCCAATGCAACAAATTAATCATATACTCATATAATATTCAGTACTATATTTAAAGGAAAACAAACATTCAAAAGAACAGATATCAAATTGTTTAATGTAATAGATTTAGAAGATATGGGTATTCTGGATGTTCTTCGATAACAAAGAACTTTTACTTCAACAAAAGACATGATTTTTTTTCATTTTTATTATTAACTTAATTATAAAAAAGGAAACATGTATTTAAAATTATGTAAAAAATTACATATTTTATTTTTGCAGTCGATAAGAAACTTAAAAATTGCTATTTTTCTTCTGATTGACTTTTTTTAATGACTACAAAGTCAAAGTAACTTTTTCAATTTTTAAATTAAGAGTCACTATATAACCAAAGGAGGAAAACAATCCTGTATGTTTTCAAAAGTGCTGTTGTTGCCACAAACAGAAGTTACTTCTACTTGTGGAGTGGTACAACTTCCTCTAAACTACATCAGCAGCACATATCATAAAAAGTTCACTGTACATTCTGAGCTGCAGAGGTTAATGCTGAGTAATTACATCATAGCCAATTCTACTTTAACAGTTAAGAAATGATTCAAACTTTCAGTTAACAATAAAAGAATAGTTTAACCACTAGTCCTCTCCCTTCTAAAACTAAAGTAGACAGTAGAGTAATAAAATTATGTTGAAGTCCTCATTATCAAAAAGGAAACCTAAGATGTAGAAAAGCACTCTGTCCAGAACTCAGGAAACTCAGAACCAGGGGAATTGGAAATGACAAGAACAAAGGAAGAAGCTGTTAAACAGCTGACTAAAACTCTGTAATTGCAAATAACTTCTGGCTTCCTCAATATCCCCCTGCCTCACCACTGTGGATAACGTTCAACAGCCAGTCATAGATCATCTGGTAAATAATCTTTACTAAAGAAACTGACAAACTAAAAAATTTCTGTTTCTAAGATTTAAGAGATCCTCAAGAAAAAGGTTAATTCTCATTCCCATTATCCTAGGGCTATGTCAATGTGTCCTTTGCAGTTGTTTTTTACTGCTGAAGCCTGAGACCAGAGTGCCGCTGAGTAAAAAAAAAAAAAAAACCTTTGTTTTGCTGTGAAAGTTTATGTTCATTACAGTATGGTGTAATAGAGAGAGCAGGTGCCTAGAAGCAGAAGTGCTGCATTTCACCAAATTTGTGGCTTTGCCAATCAAGTGACAAAACAAGAAAGAAGCAAGGTTGAGAGTATATGCTAGGGAGTATATAATCACTATAACTGACAATGAAATTTAGGTATAATCTACTCATTCCTATTTATTCGGTCATTTTCACTGTCATAAAATCATGTTGTTATTTCTGTATCTTTGGGGGAAAAGAGACTTTTTTGCTCCCAATTCCCCAATCCAGCTATAGTCTCATTTCTCTCCTCCTGAAAGCACAGAGTTTAGACATATTCTCAACAAGTTTAGACACATTCTCCCTTCCCATTCTCCCTTAAACACATTCCAAACAGGTTTTCCCCTCCACTCCATCAACACTGTTCCTGTCAGGAACCAAAGACTCCTGAGTTAGTAAATTCAATTGTCAGTTCTCAATCTTCACCTTACTAGTCCTATCGGCAGCACTTGGTACAGCTGATCACTCCCTCTTCTTGGAAATACTTTCTTCATTTAGCTATACTGTTTTCAGCCTACCCCACTGCCACTTCTAAGCTTCTGTTTCTAGAATGCCCCAGGGCTCAGTTCTTTCTTGTACTCCTACTTGGTGATCTCATCCAATCTCTTTTTTTGGTGGAGCAGTGAGAACACATATATTTATTAAGTTCACTCATCATGACACCCCAAAACAGTTACAATAGTAACATCAAAGATCACTAATCACAGATAACCATAACAAATATCAACATTTAAAAATTTGAAACATTGCAAGAATTACCAAAATGTGACACAGAGACATGAACTGAGCATGCTGCTGGAAAAATGGCACTGATGTACTTGTTCCATATAGGGTTGCCACCAACCTTCAATTTGTTAAATCATCCAATAACTACTCAACATGTCCACCTGGATTCTAATAATATCACAAACTCAACATAACCCAAAACTCATCTCCTGACCCTCCCTTCCCTTTCAAATGTGCTCTAACCTCAGCTTTTCCCAATGGTAACGACAATTCTCTCTCTCCGAGTGCTCACTCCAAAATCTTAACTTCCTCCTTGACTCCTGTCTTATATCCCACATTCAATCCATCAGGAAGTCTTGATAATTCTACTTTCAAAATATATCCAGAATCTGATCACTTTAACATCTACTTCCATGGTAAAGTCACCGTCCAAACTAGTCTCCCTTCTTTGGCCCTGTACAGTCTATTCTCAACACAACATCCTGACTTTTAAAACTTTGGAAAAAAGAAAAAGAAAAAAGATACCTTAGGTTGATTTGTCACCACTCTGTAATTTTCTCATTTAGTTATTTGTTATGCCCTTACATCTTGCATATTAACATTTGTATTTTACGAATATGCTTGTAAATAATTCAATGTGGAAATTTTTGATGGCAAGGTATAAGGAGGACCAGTGGACAATTCTGACCATAAAAGGGAAAGCCACCCAATTGGGGAGAATTTAATAAGGCCGTAATGTAAAATTATGCTGAGTAAAATGCTTATATGAGATGCAGTAAGAGAAATTTTTAAAGTTCTACAGTATAGTAAGTCAACATATTGACAAGTAACGTGATGTTAAATACCTACGTAATAAACAGAAAAACAAGTTTTTTTATATCCAGATTGATTAATCCACAAAGTTCATCAATTGTAATACTTATAAGATTATATTCTATATATAATATGTATTTATAAGTATGGTAAGATTTGAAAATAGTGAAATCAAGAAAACTTTTTTTGGTACAGAGTGCTGGCCAAAGCTAGCAAAGGACAGGATATTTAATGTTGTGTCCTATCTGGAACAAAAGGTCTGTCTTGGAGGAACTATGCTGGCATCTGTACTGACAAAGTATCCTCAATAGCTGGCTCCATGAGATTTGCCACTCTTGTTAAAAAATAAAAATTAAAAAAAAAAAAAAAAATACCTGACTTCACAATGTTTTCTTCACAGAGAGGTACTAGTGTCAAAAGCTCTGGGAGATAAAATGAAAAAAAGTTCTATTTGAAGCTATAAAAAATGATTAACTTGATTAAACAAAAATCTATTCATTCAAAAATGTTTGAAGAACTAGGTGAAATTGTGGACAAAGCTCATAAAACTCCTGCTACGTGCAGAAATCCAGTGGCTTAGCAGATGAACAGCTCTCAAAAGGTGTCGGAGCTGAAAGTTGAACTGCAGGAGTACCATCACACAGTGGGTCAGAGTCTGCTTAGTGCTAAAAGAATGAGTATCTATTGAAACTAGCCAATTTAGCAAACACTTATCAAAGAAAAAAACTGAACAACTCTTTGCAAGACCTTAGAGGAAATATTTTAACTTCGAATGGCAAAATTGGGGGGGAGGGGTGAATCAAGTGACATAAGAAAATCATAAAATGATTTTCCTATTCCTAGTTGGGCTTTAAAATGAACAGGGATATCTGCAAATCTCAAGTCTGCTGACATAAAGGAGCAAAATTAAACAGTATTTTACCTTTCTTTTCAAACAACTGTAAAAACAAATGAGGGACTCTTTCTCTGAATCTTCTGCTCAGGGTGAGAACTTGACTTTGAGGAGGAAAAATTTTATGTGCTGTGGTCGTATTATACACACAAGATGAGATTTACTGATCTGTCCCTAAAGAAGTTCTGGATTTCTATGAAATAGTGTCCTGTAAATCACAGGAAAGTAATAAACATTTAGCTGCAAGTTTTTTATGTAGAGAATTTGGAAGGGATGAGGTTAAGACTTTTTTAGTTAAATTTGACATTGGTTAATAAAATTATACAGGTTTCAAGTGTACAATTCAATAATACATCATATATATATATTGCGTTATGTGTTCACTACTGTAAGAAATTTATTTGTTGTTTAACAAGCATCAGGAGCAAGGAGGAAATCATCTCATGTCAGCTGAAAATAAAATCTATAAATGGTTATTTCAAGTTCATCAAAAAAAAAAGCAGATAAGCTTCGTACAAAAGAGATAAATGTCATTATTTTTAGTTTTAAAAAATAACAAGTTTATTGAATAAAGCCTTTTCATAAAAGATCAAGTAATTAACACATATATACAGTAATCTGAAACTTCCGGGCCTATATTTGAGCCTCAACGTGTCAGTCGATAAAATAAGTCTTTTTTTCAACTTCTGATATAAATTATGTCTTAG